CAGGAAGGGAAAAATGAAGGGGGGGAAATCAGAGGGGGAGACGAACCATGAGAGACTATGGACTCTGAGAAACAAACTGAGGGTTCTAGAGGGGACGGGTGGTGGGATGGGTTAGCCTGGTGATGGGTATTAAATAGGGCACATATTGAATGGAACAATGGGTGTTATACACAATGAATCATGGAACACTACATCAAAAAACTAATGATGTAATGTATGGTGATTAACATAATAAAATAAAATTTAAAAAAAAGAAGGAAAAAAATAAAATAAATGAAGGGGTGCCTGGGTGGCTCAGTTGGGTAAGCATCCAGCTCTTGGTTTCAGCTCAGGTCATGATCTCAGGGTCATGAGATCAAGCCCTGAATCTGGCTCTGTGCTGAGCATGGAGCCTGCTTAAGATTCTCTCTCTCTCCCTCTCCCTCTGCTCCTCCCCCACCCCTGTTCACATACTCTCTCTAAAAATATAACTTAATAAATGAATAAATAAAATGAATGAAAGTGTTCAATGTTTCAATATGAACAAATATAAAAAACAAGAATTCAATGAAATGCATGTGGCAAAAGGAAACTCACACTGTGATATGATTTATATAAACTTTAAAGTTCTGCAAAACCATTTAACATATGCCAGTAAAACATGCATGGGAATTGTAAACACTTTATATAGGTCAGTAAGTCACCTGGGAAAGGTGAGGAAAGAAGGGGGATGAGAGACGTAGAAGATATTTTTGCTGTATCTATTCTGTTTATTAATGAAGCCAGGTGAGATACACAGGTGTCAGTGATGTCATCATAAAAATCTGTATCCCTGTAATATTTCATAATCTCACAAAAAAATGAGAGATTTATTAGATATTTTTTGGAAAATGTATTCAGGAAAGAACCATGTGAATTTCTGTTTTTTAAAAAAAGATTTTATTTATTTATTCATGAGAGACAGAGAGAAAGAGAAAGAACGGCAGAGGCAGAGGGAGAAGCAGGCTCCCTGTGGAGCAGGGAGCCCGATGCGGGACTCGATCCCAGGTCCCTGAGATCATGACCTAACCCGAAGGTAGACATTTAACCGACTCAAGCCACCCAGATGCCCCCCATGTGAACTTCTGTTCAGGAAAAAAAATAATACTTTCTTACTGGCCGCATGTGAATTTTATTTTCTCTATTTCTGTAAATAGTCTTGAAGTTACACCACAACCTTTAAAAGCTAATTGTATAAATTGATTCCCCCAAAAAAACTCAGGGGAGGAAACTCTAATTTCACCTTTATTACTGACAGTTTTTATACAACTGAATAGACATTCAACCTTATTCTTTAAGGTGTAGCCTACTGGAATTACCCAGTTGCCCAGTAACTCTGTGACTGTCCATGTTCTTTGCCTTCAGATATTAACTGTGCCTTTTCTATTTGCTAATAGCTGCTGGAAAGGTGTATCAGAACAGATTGCTGGATGGTGTGAAGTCTATAAAAGGTACTTAACCATGATTAGCAGGAAAGTCTGCTAAATACCAACACAAATACCAACACAGACATCTTACCAGCAGGTTTTGAATCATGTCTACATTCCTATGTTTAGATCTTTTCTTTCATTACATTCACCACACAGTACTTTTACATAATCACCCATGTTATAGCATTGCAAGGAATCCATTCTCTCTTGAATGGATGTGAAATCTAATTTATACAACAAATAATATAGAGAACATCATAGGCAGTTTTTCTGGGGATTTGCCCAACAGCAATACAAAGGATTTTGGAGTGATCTTTAATATCATTTTATTGCATGAATCAAGTTATTTTCTATAAAACGTTCTTACCCAAAGACCAGTTAGCAACAACAACAGCAACAACAAATGTAGAAGAGAAGCATGGTATTGTGGCCAAAATACTTTTTTTACTTCCTCTTCCTTTCAGTCCTTAGAAGAAGAGATAAGAAGGGGAAGTAGGAAGGGAAAGAGGAAAGGTTACAGGTTTTGCTGCTTACTATTTGATGAGACAGTCTCGTGCTCGCTTCGGCAGCACATATACTAAAATTGATGAGACAGTCTCCTGCAGCTGGCTCGTCTGCCATCCCAGGCCCTTGGAATAATGGCAGTCAGCAACATTCCTTGCAGAATTTTGTGGTGAATGTGTCGTCCATGACATTCTTCCCTCTAGAGCAAATGAATCCACTTTTATAACCTTTTAATCTTTAATACACTTTTTGTGTATTGCAAGAGCAGAACATTGATGATCTGAAACTTGAACTATCACTCTCAGCTGATGCCTTGACTTTGTTTTGGGGACAACATGCACAGTATTCTCTCTGAATTCCCCTTGGGGACAATCCTACCATTGGTATTCTTTTGGCCTCTCTTTTCACAGATGAATATTACCCAATACTGCAAATAATAAATTTAAACACATAATCACAGCCCCACCACTAAGTAATGGTTCAACCTGAAAATATTTTTTAAATAAGCTCAGTGCCCAATGTGGGGCTTGAACTCATGACCCCGAGATCAAGAGTCACATAATCTACTAACTAAGCCGGTCAAACTGGCCCCACCTAAGAACACTTTTTTTTTTAACTTTATAATGTTATGTTAATCACCATATATTATATCATTAGTTTTTTTTCTTTTTTCTTTTTTCTTTTTTTTATTATTATGTTATGTTAATCACCATACATTACATCATTACTTTTTGATGTAGTGTTCCATGATTCATTGTTTGCGTATAACACCCAGTGCTCCATTCAGTACGTGCCCTCTTTAATACCCATCACCAGGCTAACCCATCACCCCACCCCCGCCCCCTCTAGAACCCTCAGTTTGTTTCTCAGAGTCCATCATCTCTCATGGTTCGTCTCCCCCTCCGATTTCCCCCCTTCATTTTTCCCTTCCTGTGATCTTTTTTTTAAACATATAATGTATCATTTCTTTCAGTGCAACAGGTCTGTGATTAAACAGTCTTACACAATTCACAGCATTCACCATAGCACATACCCTCCTCAATGTCTATCATCCAGCCACCCCATCCCTCCCAACCCCACCACTCTAGCAACCCTCAGTTTGTTTCCTGAGATTAAGAATTCCTCATATCAGTGAGATCATATGATACATGTCTTTCTCTGACTTATTTCGCAGAGCATAATACCCTCCAGTTCCATCCACGCTGTTGCAAATGGCAAGATTTCATTCCTTTTGATGGCTGCATAATATTCCAGTGTGTGTGTGTATACATACCACATCTTCTTTATCCATTCATCTGTTGATGGACATCTTGGCTCTTTCCATAGTTTGGCTATTGTAGACGTTGCTGCTATAAACATTAGGGTGCACGTACCCCTTCAGATCACTACGTTTGAATCTTTGGGGTAAATACCCAGTAGTGCAATTGCTGGATCGTAGGGTAGCCCTATTTTCAACTGTTTGAGGAACCTCCATACTATTTCCAGAGTGGCTGCACCAGCTTGCATTCCCACCAACAGTGTAGGAGGGTTCCCCTTTCTTCGCATCCCCACCAACATCTGTCATTTCCTGACTTGTTAGTTTTAGCCATTCTGACTGGTGTGAGGTGGTACCTCACTGAGGTTTTGATTTGGATTTCCCTGATGCTGAGCGATGTTGAACACTTTTTCAAGTGTCTGTTGGCCACCTGGATGTCTTCTTTGGAAAAATGTCTATTCATGTCTTCTGCCCATTTCTTGATTGGATCATTTGTTCCTTGGGTGTTGAGTTCGATAAGTTCTTTATAGATTTTGGATACTAGGCCTTTATGGGATATGCCATTTGCAAATATCTTCTCCCATTCTGTCGGTTGTCTTTTGGTTTTGTGGACTATTTCTTTTGCTGTACAAAAGCTTCTTATCTTGATGAAGTCTGAATACTTCATTTTTGCCCTTGCTTCCCTTGCCTTTGGTGATGTTTCTAGGAAGGGGTTGCTGCGGCTGAGGTCGAAGAGGTTGCTACCTGTGTTCTCCTCTAGGATTTGGATGGACTCCTGTCTCACGTTTAGGTCTTTCAACCATTTTGAGTCTATTTTTGTGTGTGGTGTAAGGAAATGGTTCAGTTTCATTCTTCTGCATGTGGCTGTCCAATTTTCCCAACACCATTTGTTGAAGAGACTGTCTTTTTGCCATTGGACATTCTTTCCTGCTTTGTCAAAGATGAGTTGACCATAGAGTTGAGGGTCCATTTCTGGGCTCTCGATTCTGTTCCATTGATTTATGTGTCTGTTTTTGTGCCAGTACCATACTGTCTTGATGATGACAGCTGTGTAACAGAGCTTGAAGTCCGGAACCGTGATGCCACCAGCTTTGCTTTTCTTTTAAACATTCCTGTGCCTATTTGGGGTCTTTTCTGGTTCCATACAAATTTTAGGATTATTTGTTCCATTTCTTTGAAAAAAGTGGATGGTATTTTGATGGGGATTGCATTGAATGTGTAAATTGCTCTAGGTAACATTGACATCTTCACAATATTTGTTCTCCCAATCCATGAGCATGGAACGTTTTTCCATTTCTTTGTGTCTTCCTCAATTTCTTTCATGAGTATTTTATAGTTTTCTGAGTACAGATCCTTTGCCTCTTTGGTTAGATTTATTCCTACATATCTTATGGTTTTGGAGGCAGTTGTAAATGGGATCAACTCCTTAATTTCTCTTTCTTCTGTCTTATTGTTGGTATATAGGAATGCCACTGATTTCTGTGCATTGATTTTATATCCTGCCACTTTACTGAATTCCTGTATGAGTTCTAGCAGTTTTGGGGTGGAGTCTTTTGGGTTTTTCACATAAAGGATCATATCATCTGCAAAGAGGGAGAGTTTGGCTTCTTCATTGCCGATTTGGATACCGTTGATTTCTTTTTGTTGTCTGATTGTTGTGGCTAGGACATCTAGTACTATGTTGGATAGCAGTGGTGATAGTAGACATCCCTGGCATGTTCCTGACCTTAGGGGTAAAGCTTTCAGTTTTTCCCCATTGAGAATGATATTCGATGTGGGTTTTTCAAAGATGGCTTTTATGATACTGAGGTATGTACCCTCTATCCCTATACTCTGAAGAGTTTTGATCAAGAAAGGATGCTATACTTCGTCAAATGCTTTTCTGCATCTATGGAGAGGATCATATGGTTCTTGTTCTTTCTTTCATTAATGTATTTTATCACATTGATTGATTTGCAGATGTTGAACCAACCTTGCAGCCCAGGGATAAATCCCACTTGGTCATGGTGAATAATCCTTTTAATATACTGTTGGATCCTATTGGCTAGTATTTTGATGAGAATTTTTGCATCCATGTTCATCAAGGATATTGGTCTTTAATTCTCCTTTTGATGGGGTCTTTGTCTGGTTTTGGAATCAAGGTAATGGCGGCCTCATAAAACGAGTCTGGAAGTGTTCCTTCCATTTCTATTTTTTGAAACAGTTTCAGAGGACTAGGTATTAATTCTTCTTTAAATGTTTGATAGAATTCCCCTGGGAAGCCATCTCGCCCTGGGCTTTTGTTTGTTGGGAGATTTTTAATGACTGCTTCAATTTCCTTAGTGGTTATAGGTCTGTTCAGGTTTTCTATTTCTTCCTGGTTCAGTTTTGGTAGTTGATACATCTCTAGGAATGCACCCATTTCTTCCAGATTATCTAATTTGCTGGCATATAGTTGTTCACAGTATGTTCTTATAATTGTTTGCATTTCTTTGGTGTTGGTTGTCATCTCTCCTCTTTCATTCATGATTTTCTTGATTTGGGTCATATCTCTTTTCTTTTTGATAAGTCTGGCCAGGGGCTTATCAATCTTGTTAATTCTTTCAAAGAACCAGCTCCTAGTTTTGTTGATCTGTTCTACTCTTCTTTTGGTTTCTTTTTCACTGATTTCTGCTCTGATCTTTATTATTTCTCTCCTCCTGCTGGGTTAGGCTTTATTTTCTCTTCTTTCTCCAGCTCCTTTAGGTGTAGGGTTAGGTTGTATATTTGAGACATTTCCTGTTTCTTGAGAAAGGCTTGTATTGCTAATACTTTCCTCTTAGGACTGCCTTTGCTGCATCCCAACGATTTTGAACAGTTGTGTTTTCATTTTCATTGGTTTCCATGAATTTTTTTAATTCTTCTTTAATTTCCTGGTTGACCCATTCATTCTTTAGTAGGATGCTCTTTAGCCTCCATGTATTTGAGTTCTTCCCAACTTTCCTCTTGTGATTGAGTTCTAGTTTCAAAGCATTGTGGTCTGAAAATATGCAGGGAATGATCCCAATCTTTTGGTACCGGTTGAGACCTGATTTGTGACCTAGGATGTGATCTATTCTGGAGAATGTTCCATGGGCACTAGAGAAGAATGTGTATTCTGTTGCTTTGGGATGGAATGTTCTGAATATGTCTGTGAAGTCCATTTGGTCCAGTGTGTCATTTAAAGTCTTTATTTCCTTGTTGATCTTTTGCTTAGATGATCTGTCCATTTCAGTGAGGGAAGTGTTAAAGTCCCCCACTACTATTGTATTGTTGTCAATGTGTTTCTTTGCTTTTGTTATTAATTGGCTTATATAATTGCTCCCATGTTAGGGGCATAGATATTTACAATTGTTAGATCTTCTTGTTGGATAGACCCTTTAAGTAGGATATAGTGTCCTTCCTCATCTCTTATTGTAGTCTTTGGTTTAAAATCTAATTTGTCTGATATAAGGATTGCCACCCCAGCTTTCTTTTGGTGTTCATTAGCATGGTAAATGGTTTTCCACCCCCTCACTTTCTTTTTTTTTTTTTTTTAAAGATTTTATTTATTTATTTGAGAGAGAGAATGAGAGATAGAGAGCACAAGAGGGAAGAAGGTCAGAGGGAGATGCAGACTCCCCAGCGAGCAGGGAGCCCGATGCGGGGCTCGATCCCGGGACTCCAGGATCATGACCTGAGCCGAAGGCAGCCGCTTAACCAACTGAGCCACCCAGGCGCCCCCACCCCCTCACTTTCAATCTGGGGGTGTCTTTGGGTCTAAAATGAGTCTCTTGAAGACAGCATATTGATGGGTCTTGTTTTTTTATCCAATCTGATACCCTCTGTCTTTTGATTGGGCATTTAGCCCATTTACATTCAGGGTAACTATTGAAAGATATGAATTTAGTGCCATTGTATTGCCTGTAAGGTGACTATTACTGTATATTGTCTGTGTTCCTTTCTGGCTTAGGTTACTTTTAGGCTCTCTCTTTGCTTAGAGGACCCCTTTCAATATTTCTTGGAGGGCTGGTTTCATGTTTGCAAATTCCTGTAGTTTTTGTTTGTCCTGGAAGCTTTTTATCTCCTTCTATTTTCAGTGACAGCCCAGCTGGATATAGTATTTTGGGCTGCATATTTTTCTCATTTAGTGCTCTGAAAAATGTCATGCCGGTCCTTTTGGCCTCCCAGGTCTCTAGGTCTGTTGCCAGTCTAATGTTTCAGCCATTGTAGGTTACAGATCTCTTCTCCCGAGCTGCTTTCAGAATTTTCTCTTTGTCTCTGAGACTCGTAATTTTTACTATTTTTATTCATTGTGAGGGGGGTTCTCTGTGCCTCCTGGATTTTGATGCCTGTTTCCTTCCCCATATTAGGGAAGTTCTCTCCTATAATTTGCTCCAATATACCTTCTGCCCCTCTCTCTCTTTCTTTTTCTGGGATCTCAATTATTCTAATATTGTTTCATCTTGTGGTATCGCTTATCTCTCGAATTCTGCCCTCGTGATCCAGTAGTTGTTTATCTCTCTTTTTCTCAGCTTCTTTATTTTCTATCATTTGGTCTTCTATATCACTGATTTTCTCTTCTGCCTCATTTATCCTAGCAGTTAGAGCCTCCATTTTTGATTGCACCTCTAATAGCCTTTTTGATTTTGACTTGGTTAGATTTTAGTTCTTTAATTCTCCAGAAAGGGTTTCTCTAATATCTTCCATGCTTTTCTCAAGTCCAGCTAGTATCTTTAAAATCGTCATTCTGAACTCTAGTTCCGACATCTTACTAATGTCTGTATTGATTAGGTCCCTGGCAGTCGGTACTGCCTCTTGTTCCTTTTTTTGAGGTGATTTTTTCTGTCTTGTCATTTTGTCCAGAGGAGAATAGATGAATGAGAGAACAAAATGCTAACAGGGTAAAAACGACCCCAGAAAAATATACACTAAACAAATCAGAAGAGACCTGAAACTGGGCGAAAAGAAAGGGAAAGAAAGAAAAAAGAAAAAAGAAAAGAAAAGGATAAAGATAAAAACAAAGAAACAAAAAAACAGAGTATGATCAAATTGATCAGGCTGGTGCATAGATCAGTGCCACACAGTAGATTTGGGGTATATTTTGGTCTGTTAGAAGAAAGTGCCTCCCAAAATTTTAAAGAAAGAAAACTTATACATGTACAAAAATAAGGGTAAATAAGATGAAGGGATGGAATATGACTGTAAAGATGAAAATTATAAAAGATTTTATAAAAGGAATTGATAAGATAAGAAGTTGGTTGAAAAAGAAAGAAGAGGATTTAAAAAAAAATGGAGAGAATGTGATCAGGCAGGAGACTAGAACAAAGCCATACAGTAGAGGTTTAGGGTATATTTTGGTCTGTTAGAAGACACTGTATCCCAAAATTTTAAAGAGAAAACAACTTATGTATGTGTGTGTGTGTATATATATATACCAAAAATAAGGTTAACTACTATGAAGGGATAGATTATGACTCTAAAAATGAAAAATAAAAAAGATTTTTTAAAAACGGGATTGATAAGATGTTGGTTGAAAAAGGGAAAAAGAAGAATTTGAAAAAATAAAAAAGAAAGTTAAAAAAAATTAACCCTGAAAGGCTAAAGATTCATGGTAAAAAAAAGTCATGAATTCTATGTGCAATATTCCCCTAGCGCTGGAGTTCTCCTGTTCTCCTTGATCGGTAAACTTGGTCTTGGTAGGCTGTTCTTGCTGATCTTCTGAGGGAGGGGCCTGTTGCTCTGGTTCCCAGATGCCTTTGCCGGAGGCAGAATTGCCCCGCCCTTGCTGGGGCCAGGCTAAGCGATCTGTTCGGGTTTGCTCTCGGCAGCTTTTGTTCCTGCCAAGCTTTCCATACAGCTTTGGAGGAGGAGAGGGAAAATGACGACCTCCCAATCTCCGCCCAGAGGAGCCGAGAACTCAGGGCCCCGCTCCTCAGTGCACCCCCAGAGAAAAGCAAGCAGTCACTCCCGTCTCCCCGGTCTCTGGCCGCACTCCGTGCTCACCTGGCCTGTGACCGAGTGTTTCTATCTCTGGCACCTGACCCCGTGTGTAGTCTCCAAACCCAGCAGATCCCTGCAGTGCGCTCCCGCACCACTCCTCCCAGGGGAGGAAGGGGAGTCTCCCCGGATCTGCAGCTATTTGGGTCCCTGCTGGAGGAGCAGTGTCCTGGCTATGCTGTAGATCACGGCTTATGGCAACCCCGAGCTGAGAGCCCACTCCTCCGCTCTGTCTCTGCAGGCGGCTTCCCTGCTCCGATACGTGGGAGGTCTGCTGCACTCAGGCACCCCCGGGATTTCTGTGTCCCTGAGGGTCCTGAGACCACACTGTCCCGCGAGGGTTCCACCCCCCACTTAGCCACTGGAGCGACGTCCCTCAGCAGAGCAGACTTCTAAAAGTTCAGATTTTGTGCTCTGCGGCTCTATCACTTGCCAGAAGCAGCCAACGGAGGCCCCCCTCCCCCGCTGTCTATCTTCCCGATTATCGCCTCGGATTCACCTCTCCACATGTCCTACCTTCCAGAAAGTGGTCACTTTTCTGTTCAGAGAGTTGCTGCTATTCTTTTCTTCAATATCCTGTTGAGTTCGTAGGTGTTCAGAATGGTTTGATCCCTATCCAGCTGAATTCCTGGGACCAGACAAAATTTAGGTCTCCTACTCCTCTGCCATCTTGCTCCTCCCCCCCACCTCAGAACATTTTTATCTAAGTTGTTCTTGATCTCATTTTAAGTGATTTGCTGAGCTAACCTTATATGCCTGTTCACTAATATAAATAAGTTGTATGTTTGTCTTTATTTTTTATTAAATTGATGCATGTGAGAAAAAAATATATATATACTAATCTTTTGAAATCATGTAGTATTTTTTTCATGATTCTTTCCTGTTTGTTTCTTAAGGAGGAATGGTTAAAATCAATAACTTAGACAATGTTCTGGAAAACCTGGGAATTGAACTCACAGAAAAGGAACGTGAAGGTCTGACAGAATATTTGCCACCTGATGGTGAGGATTGTAGATGATAATGAACCTTAGAGATGAGTTTACTACATTTATGAGCTGGTGTCAGAGAACCCACATTAATTAGTGATATTGCATATACCAAAAGAAAATAGAAGCATTTTGGAAAGATAGGAATAAACCAGTCCTGATTTAAGAACAGAATATGTATTATTTAGGGTAAACTCAATTTTTATTTAAATACAAACTTGAGGGCACCTGGGTGGCTCATTTGTTAAGCGTCTGCCTTCAGCTTAGGTCATGATCCCAGACTCCTGGGATCGAGCCCGCATGGGGCTCCCTGCTCAGCAGGAAGCCTGCTTCTCCCTCTCCAACTCCCCCTGTTTGTGTTACCTCTCTCGCTATGTATCTGTCAAATAAATAAATAAAATCTTTAAAAACAAACAAACAAACCTGAAAACGTGTAATGGTTAAACACAATAGAAGTTTAATTCTCTCCCCCGTAAAAGTCCAAGGTGAGAGTATTCTTGGTTGACGGGCAGTGGCTCATCTCCTTTCAGTGATACAGGGATCTGGGTTCCTTGCCTCTTGGATTCGTTCTTACAGCCTTTTCATTGTTTATATCTAATTAATGGAATGGAAAAGGGAGCATGAAGGAGAGAGATGTAGGACATGTCATTTCCATAACCATTCTTTGTTGGGAACTAGTCACATGGCTACAACTATATGCAAGGGGGAGGTGGGATGGGCGGTGATAGGAACATAGTATCTGGCTGAGCATCCACTTCCGTCTATAATTCTACACTATGAGAGGAAATAAGAGTTTTGGTATATAGTTAGCTGTTTTTTTGTTTTGTTTTCATTAACAATTGCCTAATATACATGTGTACCATATGCTTTGAGGCCAAGTAGCACTTTCCTAAAAAGCCTCACATGGCTAGAACTAAAGAAGATAAAATCAAATGACATCAAATCAAAATAAATCAATAAAGGAGGACTGTTTGCCAGTCATCTGCATTGAAGTAACAATATATATCTGCAGGTAACATCCAAAAACCAGATTCAGCAGATAGTTTTGCTTCATCCCCAGATGAGAATTGTTCATTCTTAAAGGAGCCTGGTACCAGCCACAATTTAGACAAGCCTTAAATTCCACAGTGGGGAAACTGGCTCATATCCAGATTATTCTGGTGTAATCTTGGGCTTCTTTCCTCCTCTTGCATATATTCAGCTTCTCTGTCACCCTCCCCATTCCAGCGTCATGCTCTTTTTGAGTCCTAATCACTATTTACTATATTGTGATTCATTATCTTCTCATATTTAAAAACATCATTCAGAAACTTTATGATGACCTGAGGAGCAGGAATCATGGATTCTGCAGTTAGCTCTCCTCTTGAGTCTTTTGATTGTTAAATCTGTGGCACTACAGGCCTTCCTTTTATCTTGCTTTGGGTAATGACAGTGTGTAACCAGTTCAGTTAGCTGCACAGAATCCTGAGCTCAAAAGAGTACCATGCTTGGGGTTTAATGCTCTGCTTTGGCCATCACTGAGAATCTTCATAACCTTATCTTTGAATTTGCATTTCCTAATTGAAATCTGATGGCAAACTGGAGCATGGCTAGGGCTTGGTACCCCAGCTCACGAATGTTACTGCCCTTGCCATTTAGTCCCCAGGATGTATTCTGGATCAACCATTCCACAGCCTCTGGTACAGCAGACCTCCATTTCATCACCTGTGCCTGGCAACATCTGCATCCTCTGACACCAGCAGGGACCTGGACATGGTTTCAGGGAGGGCTGGCATTGGGAACCTGCACCTGAAGGCATCTTGTGGGAAGACATGGCGGCAGCACTCCCCACTCTGGGCTGACAGGGTCAAGCCTGTTGCCCATCCCCTTCCAAGTACATAGTGTGTCCCATGTCAAGGTTACTTTACTCTTGGGAGTTGCGTATTCGTAGTGAGTTGAGGCAACCAGTGCATAGGATGTGTGGATCTAGCAGCAGGTGGGAGGAAGGCTAGTGAGCCCTGTGCATGTTGAGTAGTGGGACCCCACCCAGGACACCTGTGAGGTTCTGCACTCAACCCTAGAAGATGCCATGCCTGTGAGAGTGTGACATTAACTAGCAGATTTAAAAACTAAACCAAAAACACCAATAGGACAACTCAGGAATGAGACTATGGGGGAAAAAAGATAAAGCTTTGAACAAGGGGCCCTGCATTTTCATTTTTTTACATGGCCCAGTAAATAAAGTAGCTAGTCTTATGTGGTTGATCAGTCCTTCCTGATATTGAAACAATGCCATATTTCTATAACCCTCTAGCTTTAACTAATGATTTCTTTTTCCCAAAGACAGAAAGGTAGAAATGTTAATCCAAACTTTATGGATGTGTTGGTAACAAAAGATTAAGAACACATATCAACCAGTCCAAGTTAGTAGTTGAAATAACTGAAGAAGATGGTTACTAAAAGATAAAACATGAAAAATGGGGATCTCTTTCAACATCAGTCTTGGGAGGAACTTTGTGTATGCACCAGAAGTAAGGGCTACCAGAGACCAAACAGCATCTTCAGCCTACTGTAACACTCCTGCAAGCGAAAGATTTAGAGAAAGTTTCCTTGGGTCAACCCCCTATCTACCATAGAATGAATTCTTGTAATCCAATCCATATAAACTTTTGATTGGTTGAGATTAAATTGTCAGTGGAATCTTTTTCTTCTTATAGCTCCTTTATCTTACAACATTGCCACATCCTAATTATGATATTTCTTACAGCTAATGGGAAGATTGGTCTCAAAAACTTGATGGAAGCAGTGGAAACTGTTACAGGTTAGTTAGAAGTTTCTATAAATCTAATGTCTTAATTCTTTATATTAATTTATATTTTTATATAGACCCATCATTTCTCCATTTCCTTTTTTATTCTATCCATTTTTCTTTTATATTGATGAATATCTGCATTCAGTTGCCGAGAATTATACTTTAGAATATCTGCATTTTAGAACTAATTTTTCAGTGCAAAGTTCTAGTAGCAAATTTCTTTGTTTCTGGAATATTTGCCAAGAATTGTCACTATGCTTCATTTTGACTGCCAAATTTAAATTAGGACAGCAAATGATAGAGCAAATTTTCACAAAGATAAAATACTCTCATCGTTAAGAAATTAGGAGAGGTGTAATATCCCTTACAAAATAAATGGATCTTATGCCTACAGTGTCCTAATTTACATTATGTAAAGTGCATCAGTATGTCTATCACTTTACTAAGAGTAAGGAAGAAATTCTATTTCTACCCCCATTAAAGACAGTGGTGAACAGTTAGCATATTCATGTGTGTTTGCTCATTGAGCTATCGTAGCTGAAGCTGAAAAGGCATCAACATGTTTTTGGAGGTATTAGACCTTTCTCTGGACTAATCTGTGCCCATTTTGTTATGCTGAAGGAGGAGAGGTTGATGTCAGTGATGTGGGAAATGTCCTGGAAAACATAGGAGTAACTGTCACAGATAAGGAATGTGGAGAACTGGTAAAAAATCTGCCAGTTAATGGTAAGAATTTAAAATGTTACTACGGTCTTGGGCGCATGGGTGGCTCAGTTGGTTAAGCGACTGCCTTCAGCTCAGGTCATGATCCTGGAGTCCCGGGATCGAGTCCTGCATCGGGCTTCCTGCTCAGCGGGAGTCTGCTTCTCCCTCTCACCCTACCCCCGCCATGTGCTCTCTTTCCGTCTCTCATTCTTGCTCTCTCAAATAAATAAATAAATAAATTCTTTACAAAAATAAACTGTTACTATGCTGTTGAGGGAAGGATACATTTCTTCCCTTGTAAGAACTTCTATAAACTTTCTCATATGATAGCATAGATACTTTCCACAGTTACTTAGAATAAATGATTTCACTAATGTAATTATATATCTATACATATATTGATAGATAATATGAAGATATGCTCTATATTCTAGATTGTTAATGTGAGTTATCTGGGGTCTTGTGGCTGGATCATAGACTGAGAAGGGAGTAGTAGAGAAAGGCAATTACACACACAAAAAACCCCAAACTCTAGACTGAAAAAGTACAGCCATTATGATATGGTTCAATTTATTCATTTATGTGAACTTATATGTCCAATAGTCCAAATAATTTTTAAAGACAATGAATGATCCAGTTTCACCTTAAAAGGATTCTATCAAATAGTAGAACATCAGTAACTGTTTGAGCTGAGTATATATGAGGATTCACTGTTTCTTTCTTTCTTTCTTTCTTTCTTTCTTTTTTTTTTTTGATTCATTTTTTCTATTCTAGTTTTGTATATGGCTGAAATTTTTCATAATAAAAACTTTTTTTAAGATTTTATCCATTTGTTTGACAGACAGAGACACAGCGAGAGAGGGAACACAAGCAGGGGGAGTGGGAGAGGGAGAAGCAGGCTTCCCGCTGAGCAGGGAGCCCAATGCAGGGCTCCATCCCAGGACCCTGGGATCATGACCTGAGCCAAAGTCAGATGCTTAATGACTGAGCCACCCAGGTGCCCATAATAAAAACATTTTAACAGAAGATTTTTAAGAAGGAATTCTATCCATTACAGGTTTTTAGTTGGAAATCAGCTGCTGCTCTATTCACAACCTGCCATCAAGGTTAAGAAATACCTTTTGTAGGCAAATTCCATAGAAAAGGGAATTCTAAAAGGTATACTAACTAGACGAAAGAGCAGAAAGAATTTTTTTTTTCAAAAGCTCATGCATTGTAGATTGCCAGCATTAACATGCTGAGGTGCCAACAATTGAATAGAGTGGATGCATTGGTGGCCATTTCATTTTTTTTAAATTTGAAAGTAATTTGGAAATTTTCTAGAGAAAAGCACAAATCCTCCTTACATTAAATTATGACTTGCTGCGTTGGTGACTCTCCACATCACTTACTTGTGTATGATCTGATTTATGTTTCCTGTAGCTAATGGGAAAGTCTACAAGAATAGGTTGCTGGATGGTTTGAAGTCTCTTAATGGTAAGTGAGAAGCATAGTCAAAAGCCAGATGAATCTAAGAGGAACATACATACTACTTCCTAGATACCCAATTGTGACTTTCACTAACCTACTTAAATACTGATGTCATTCCTACCTTCTGATATAGACCTGTCTGTGAGCAAATTATCACCACATGAATTTTTAAATAATGTTTTCCAGAAAAGAAACTAATATCTGTGTTGGAACAGAGAAACTAAAGGGAAAATATTTGGGGAATTTGGTTAGGAGTTGAGACAACTAATAAAGTAAATAAAAATGAGCCCACTTATGAGTGAGAAGATAAAATTACTTTTTTCACTTGTTTCATTCAAGTCCATTTAAGTTATTTGAATCCAAAAACTATACAACATGCTGACTGACTATAATAAAATGCATTCTGGGCAATGAGATTAAGATTTCAGATTTTTTATCCCCAACAGAGGAAGTTTCTAAGAAGTCGCCCAAACCAAAATTTTAGAAAAAGATCCCTTGCCTGCAAAAGAAAAACACTTCTGACAGAAAACACCCTTTATATTTCCACCTCTACTTCAGTCTTGTGGGCCCCTAGGTTGTTTAAATATATAAACCTGTATTTTTCTTTCATTTTTTTGTTTCTTGACCATTTTTCATTTCCAAGGAGGGATTGTTAATGTCAATAAACTTGGTTCAGTTTTGAAAACCATGGGATGGAAACTCACAGAAGACGAAATTAAGGATCTCAGATGCAACCTGCCCACTGATGGTGAGCATGTAAAATATTTTTAAGTTCTTTGGGAAAATCCTACCATGGTGATTAGAATCCCAGCCCATTGTTCTTTATGGATCTTGGTTATGCCATTGAGGAAATCCTACCTTTTTTCATTATTCGTCTTCCCACATGGGAAGAAGGCACTGAAGAATATCCCCTTCTTGTGGCTGAAGCAACTTTCTTAGTCTACTTCCTGTTTGTAAAGAGCAGGAGACCCGGTTATGGTCATGAACAGAATATCTTTTAGTTTAGGTTTATACTAAAATAGAGTTGACCTTTTATCTGATTGACTATGACTAGCTTTGTGTGGCAGTACTTACATCTACAATTCTTTTTGAGACATGCTTCTCATTAGATTTAATTATAGATCCCTTGAGTTTTATCAGATGTCCTTGGAGAGAAGCACGACCTAAGATGCTTATTCCTGAATTGTTTTTTCAAACTTAGAGGATTTACTAGCCAGCCCATTAATCAAATCAGACATTTTATTTTTTTTAAAGATTTTATTTATTTATTTGAGGGAATGAGAGACAGAGAGAGAGCTCATGAGAGGGGGGAGGGTCAGAGGGAGAAGCAGACTCCACACCAAGCAGGGAGCCTGATGTGGGACTCGATCCTGGGACTCCAGGATCATGACCTGAGCCGAAGGCAGTCACTTAACCGACTGAGCCATCCAGGCACCCTCAAATCAGACATTTTAACAAAAGGAATAATGACCACACTCTTCATTTTGTCTTTGCCAGAAGCCTTACTTTTATTTATTTATTTATTTTAAATTTTATTATGTTATGTTAGTCACCATACAATACATCATTAGTTTTTGATGTGGTGATCCATGTTCCATTGTTTTTGTATAACACCCAGTGCTCCATGCAGTACATGCCCTCCTTAATACCCATCACCAGGCTAACCCATCCCCCTTCCCCCTCCCCTCTAAAACCCTGTTTGTTTCTCAGAGTCCATAGTCTCTTATGGTTCATCTCTCCCTCCAATTCCCCCCCCGCTTCATTTTTCCCTTCCTTCTCCTAGTGTCCTCCATGCTGTTCCCTATGTTCCACAAATAAGTGAAACCATATGATAATTGACTTTCTCTGCTTGACTTATTTCACTTAGCATAATCTCCTCCAGTCCTATCCATGTTGTTGTAAAAGTTGGGTATTCATCCTTTCTGTTGGCTGAGTAATATTCCATTGTATATATGGACCACATCTTCTTTATCCATTCATCTGTTGGAGGACATCTCAGCTCTTTCCACAGTTTGGCTATTGCGGACATTGCTGCTATGAACATCAGGGTGCATATGGCCCTTCTTTTCACTACATCTGTGTCTTTGGGGTAAATACCCAGGAGTGCAATTGCTGGGTCATAGGGTAGCTCTATTTTTAAATTTTTGAGGCACCTCCACACTGTTTTCCAAAGTGGCTGTACCAACTTGCATTCCCACCAACAGTGTAAGAGGGTTCCCCTTTCTCCACAACCTCTCCAACATTTGTTGTTTCTTTCCCTGTCCATTTTTGCCATTCTAACTGGCGTAAGGTGATATCTCAATGTGGTTTTGATTTGGATTTCCCTGATGGCTAATGAGGATGAACATTTTTTCATGTGTCTGTTAGCCATTTGTATGTCTTCTTCAGAGAAGTGTCTTTTCATATCTTCTGCCCATTTTTTGACTTGATTATTTGTTTTTTGGGTGTTGAGTTTGAGAAGTTCTTTATAGATCTTGGATACTAGCCCTTTATCTGTAGTGTCATCTGCAAATATCTTCTCCCATTCTGTGGGTTGCCTCTTTGTTTTGTTGACTGTTTCCTTTGCTGTATAGAAACCTTTCATCTTGATGAAATCCCAAAAGTTCATTTTTGCTTTTGTTTCACTAGCTTTTGGAGATCTTGAAAGAAGTTGCTGTGGCCGATGTCAAAGAGGTTACTGCCTATGTTCCCCTCTAAGATTTTGATGGATTCCTGTCTCACATTGCAGTCTTTCATCCATTTTGAGTTTATCTTTGTGTATGGTGTTAGAGAATGGTCGAGTTTCATTCAGAAGCCTTACTTTTAAATGCCCTTGATCACTGAAAGAAATCCTTGGGGTTATCTTCTATTTATAGAAGATGAGAAATAGTTCATTTTTGTTTACCACGCAGGACCCAGAATTTCCAGATCTCTCTGTTCTCTTTAGTCCCTGCTTTCCAGGCAGTCCTTTTGTTTCTGAGTTCATTTCTTCTTCTAGTAACTTCTCCATGGCAGCCAATATCAACCAGATACTCTAGTAACACTGTATTTCCTCACCTCTTCTTTTAAGGCACAAGCATCTTCAGCACATTATCTACCTTCTCAGTTGTTGAAATTGATAGACTTGCCAACACCATTGCAAGGCAGGAGTTCATTCATTCCAGCCTCCAGGAACAACTTCCTCACCCACCACTCCCAGCACCAGAGCCAGTACCACATATTTTCATTGTTTTTGCTATTGCTGTTGTTGTTGCTAAGACAGCACCACACTTGTGTTTCTAGTTTCTGTATCAGTTAGCTATGGTGCAGTAGTAACAGACAACCCCCAAATCTCAGTGGCTTATGGCAAAAGATTTTTTTGCATGTCACTCAAAATAAGATACTGCCCATAGGTTGGCTGTCCCTCTGGTCTCTATTATAGGGCACAGGCTGAAGGAGCAGTCCCTGTCTGGATGATGTCACCTTTGTGACAGGGAAAAACAGAGATGATGCCACTATGTGGTAGTTCTTAAAGTTTCTGCTCAGAAGAGACACAAATATTTCATTAGGCAAAGCACCTTACATGATATCATTAGGAACAGAAGTATCATCCTTAAGGACAGGCTTGATAGAAAGGGGCAGAGAATATTTGAACAAACAATATACATTCTCTTAAAACAACATATCTGAAAATACAGGGAGAAGCAATTTATATCAATTTTGTGCATTTTAAAACTGATTCCATAATTACAGAACATCCATTCAATGAAATATATAGAGTCATCAAAAGAACCAGTCAGCTTTATATTTGTATACAAATATATGCATAGAATATCTCTAAAACAGAATAAAACATCAATGTTCCTTAGAGGGAAGAGAACTCTGATAGAGGATATGTTTATGAGGAAGATTTATTTTTCACTATATACACAGTGATAACATTTGAAGTTATGTAATTTATGCTTATGTTACCTATTCAGTAAATGAATTTAAAAACATATTACATGAAAAGTATGACCCATAAGGGGAAAAAGTGGATGTTAAACCTCATCAAAATGAAAAGCTTTTGCTCTGTGAAAGCAGTGTGGAGATGGTGAAAGACAACCTACAGTCTGAGAGAAAATATTTGCAAATGACACATCTGACAAAGGGCTAATAGCTCTGATTCAAAGGATCCTCAAAACTCAGCAACATAAAATATAAACAGTCCAATTAGAAAATGGGGAAATTATGTGAAAAAATATTTCACCATGGAGGATCTACCGGTATCAAATAAACACATGGAAAGATGCTTGACATCATTAGGCATCAAGGAAATGCAACTTAAAACTACAATGAGATATCACTGCATACCTATCCAAATAGCTAAAATTAAATGGTGACAACACCAAATGTTGATGAGGATGCTAGAGAATCTGGGTCACTCACCCTTCCTGGTGGAAACATAAAGTGATATAATCACTAGAGAAAAAAGTTCCAGTTTTTAAAAAAAAAAACTAAGCATAAAACTACCATAGGACCTAGTAGTTACACCTCTGGGCATTGATCCCAGAGAAATAAAAACTTATGTTTGCACAAAAATCTGTACATGAACATAAGAGCAAAGTCTGGAATCAACCCAGGTACCCTTGAACAGGTAGATGGCTAAACAAACTGTGGTCCATATGTATCATGGAATACTATTCATCAGTAAAAATAAAGTAACTATTTGACTCATGCAACAACTTGGATGAATTTCCAGATAATTATGCAGAACCAAAGAAAGCCAAGCTCAGAGGTTACACACTGTACAATTCCATTTACATAAGATTTTGAAATAATAAAATTTTAGAAATGTAGGGCAATTAGTGCTTGCCAGGATTTAGGGATAGGGGATTGGTGGAGACAGAGGAAGGTGGGGTGGTTACCAAAGGGTCCTTTTGGTGCAGTCAGGATCTTGACTATGGCAGTGCATACATGAACCTTCACACAGACACACAAATCAGTACAAGGAAAACTAATGAAATCTAAATAATGGTGAATTGTATCAATGCCAACATCCTATTTTTTATATTATACTATGGTTTTGTAAGTCTTATCATTAGGGGAAGCTGGGCAAAAATGTACAAGGCATCGCTTTATATTTTTTCTAACAACTTCATATGAACCTACAATTATCCAAATAAAAATTTCAAAAAAATATTAAGTTGAAAATAAAAATCTATTAGTTTCTCAGTATAATAACCACCCCCCCAACTGCTGATGTAAAGGAATTATCTTCAAAGTGATTAAAATTGATCTTGTAATCCAAAAAGGAGGAACTAAATCTGTCTGTGCTTACCATCAGGGAATACCAGATGAGAACACATTACAGGAGAAAATCATTTCTAAAACCCCAATTTCAACATTTTTGAATAGCATATACCAACTTGAAATCCTCTTGTAGGGGTCTTATATAAATAAGAAAGTTCTTCAAAATCTTAGAGCTCAAAAGTAGACCCTGGGCAATAGGTGTCTTTTGAATCTTACCCCTTGACTGTTACAGGTTTGATTTAAGATGAATGAAATCACAGTTATGCTATTGAAGTTATATTTTTCATGTGTCACTTCTTTACACTTCTTCTCAGGAAAAGGGTAAAAGTAGAGAACATTCTTGATATGTCAGTGTTGCTGGAATATTTTCATCTCAGATTATTTCTACGCATCACAGTGTGTTTCTTTTTTATTATTTGCATTTCTTCTTACAGTATATGGAAGAATTGCAATGAAAAAGTTGTTTGATGGATTAAAAGCTTCTGCAGGTCAGTGGGAAGTTATATAAAACCAAGATCAGTAAGCTTTATGTAGTAGTAGTTTTAAATAATATTTTCTATCATTATTTTACTGATTTGTAAATTTTAGCTTTCAACCTTTTCTAATAAAACATTTGCTCCTGATGTCCCATAGTTTGCCTTTTTATATAGTGATTAAAAGTCTAACAACTTCTCAACTTTCTGGAGTTTTTACACTAACAATATTATTCACTTCAACGTTATTAATAGATTGCCAAATTAGGATATATCAAGCAACAAGATAAAGCTTTTTTATTGTCAGTCTTTTAAGCAAATAACATTTCAGAAAAAATATTTAAAATACATTAATACTCTCTAGTAAGATATATAAATGATATTGATATCGTCATTAACCAGATAATTATTCAGATAAAATTTACTCTATTCTGACTCCTTGTCAGATTAGGAAATCATACTTTAGTATCTTTATGTAAATTAGATATATGATCCTTCTTAATTCTCTATAGATGTCTATATCTTATTATATCTTTGAACTTCCACAAATTAGGAAGAAACATTTTTCACATTATTAATTATTATTTGAAATAATTATTCTATAAAATTCTTGAACAGTCACATTTCATATTTTCAAAGGAAAAAAGATGAATGCGCAACATGTACCAGATTTTGTGAGCAATTTGGGTGTTGAGCTAACAGATAAAGAACAAAAGAGGCTGCTGAAGAAGCTTCCAGTTGGTGGTGAGCCATAAAGATACCTTAGTTGCCTTCTAGAGTACTTAGCTTTATAGTACACTGGGAGAAGTTTTTAAAGGTTCTCTTTTAGCTTGAAATAAGACCTATATATACATAGGTCTTAAGTTCTATGGATACCCTTCTGTTCATTTTAACCCAGGCCATCACGGGCAAAACAAATGTTTTATTCTTTAAATTTTTTATTGTTATGTTAATCACCATACGTTACATCTTTAGTTTGTGATGTAGTGTTCCACGATTCATTGTTTGTGCATAACACCCAGTGCTCCACGCAGAACGTGCCCTCCTTAATACCCATCACCAGGCTAACCCATCTCCCCATCCCCCTCCCCTCTAGAACCCTCAGTTTGTTTTTCAGAGCCCATTGTCTCTCATGGTTCATCTCCCCCTTCAATTAACCCCCCTTCATTCCTCCCCTCCTGCTATCTTCTTCTTCTTTCTTTCTTAACATATATCACATTATTTGTTTCAGAGGTACAGATCTGTGATTCAATAGTCTTGCACAATTCACAGCGCTCACCATAGCACATACTCTCCCCAATGTCCATCACTCAGCCACCCCATCCCTCCCACCCCAACTCCAGCAACCCTCAGTTTGTTTCCTGAGATTAAGAATTCCTCATATCAGTGAGGTCATATGATATATGTCTTTCTCTGGTTGACTTATTTCACTCAGCATAACACCCTCCAGTTCCATCCATGTCGTTGCAAATGGCAAGATCTCATTCCTTTTGATGGCTGAATAATATTCCTGTGTGTGTGTGTGTGTGTGTGTGTGTGTGTGTATACACACACACATATACACCACATCTTCTTTATCCATTCATCTGTCGATGGACATCTTGGCTCTTTCCACAGTTTGGCTATTGTGGACATTGCTGCTATAAACATTGGGGCGCACGTACCTCTTCAGATCCCTAAACATTTGTATCTTTGTGGTAAATACCCAGTAGTGCAATTGCTGGATCATATGGTAGCTCTATTTTCAACTTTTTGAGGAACCTCCATACTGTTTTCCAGAGTAGTTGCACCAGCTTGCATTCCCACCAGCAGTGTAGGAGGGTTCCCCTTTCTCTGCATCCCTGCCAACATCTGTCAAAACAAATGTTTTATGTCATCACCTCTAGCCAATGACAAAACTACAAGAAAGAAAATGAAGGAATGTGATCTGGGGAGAGACTTTTAGAAGAATTACACACAAGAGATCAAAGAAGAAAGAAAGTGTAGAGTGCCTGTTAACAGTTTTTGTCAGGTCTTTAGAATTGCATAATTCTCATTGAAAGTTCTCTCATAGTCTCCTTTTTTTTTTTAAAGATTTTATTTATTTGAGAGAGAGAGCATGAGAGGTGGCAGGGTAACAGGGAGATGCAGACTCCCTGCCAAGCAGGGAGCTCGATGCGGGACTCGATCCTGAGACTCCAGGATCATCTGAGCCGAAGGCAGTTGCTTAACCAACTGAGCCACCCAGGAGCCCCTAGTCTCCTTTTTTTTTTTTTAACTGGAGGTTGAAATAAGAACATATTTATTCAGTAAATGAAAACTCTCCCTGTATTTATGGAATATATGTAGCATCTTTCTGACCATCTACATAGTATTTTATCTGACAAGGACTATGCTTTGCATTGTACCTTCTGGGAAGATCTATCAAAATAGATTGTTGGATAATCTGAAGTCTTTCAAAGGTGAGTTAATGAGCAATTTGAGAGTTAACAGTTTAATTTATCTCATTAGAGTTTTAACCAAGCCACCCTTCTATGAATTGATTTTTATTTTTTTTTTTAAAGATTTTATTTATTTGACAGAGAGAGCACAAGCAGAGGGAGTAGCAGGCAGAGAGATAGGGAGAAGCAGGCTTCCCGCCAAGCAGGGAGCCCGATCCAGGGCTCCATCCCAGGACCCTGGGATCATGACCGGAGCCGAAGGCAGACACTTAACAGACTGAGCCACCCAGGCACCCCTAGGAACTGATTTTTAAATGTAGTTTCTTTATTTTAAATGTGGTATTTTATGATAAAATATTTTTAAATCTTTGTAGGTCCCACATTTTCTTATATTTTCCAAAAATTAATCTTGAAAGTATAAGTTGAATTCTAGGTAGATACAGCAAAACATGAAAAGGATGATAGGTAGCTAGTCTGAGGATTAGTTAAGCAAGCAAAGAAAACAAAAATAGTTTCTATTCTCAAAAAGATTGGGCATTGTTTCCTGATAGAATCAAAACCAAAATCATAAATAAATATTCATTATAGTTCCTCTTAAAAGAATATGTTTTTACAAATAATGCAAGATATGTTAAGAAAAAAGAAAAAGAAGAAGATAGCAGGAGGGGAAGAATGAAGGGGAGTAAGTCGGAGGGGGAGAGAAACCATGAGAGACGATGGATTCTGAAAAACAAACTGAGGGTTCTAGAGGGGAGGGGGGTGGGGGGATGGGTTAGCCTGGTGATGGGTATTAAGGAGGGCACGTTCTGCGTGGAGCACTGGGTGTTATGCACAAACAATGAATCATGGAACACTACATCAAGAACTAATGATGTAATGTATGGTGATTAACATAACAATAAAAAATTTTTAAAAAGAATATGTTTTTAGTGAGATTCAGTAAAAAACAAACAAACAAGCAAAAACCTGTAGGCAAAGCCTGTGCCTAGGGTTTGTTTTTGTTTTGCTTTCCCTCTTGCCAGTGCTTAATCCAAAAGAAGAGAAGAGCATAAGGAGAATGAAGGAAAGACTTAGAAGCTCTTCCACTTGATACCTATTGAGGAGTCTTCTGCTACAAGAAGAATGCCTCTTGGCATTCCTAGGCCCTTTAGAAGAGTGGCAGCAGGATTATTTTTTCATTTAATGTGGATTTAACCATGCTGCCCATTTGATAACATCTTGCTCTGTGTCCCTATCAACTAAATCAAGTATCACCTTAGAAATGGGACGATGATAGCCAGAAACTTGTATTGTCAGTCTTTCTGTTCTGTTCCCCAATCTAGCTATTCTTCTCCAGTCTCTAGGCCTCCTGTTTTACAACTTTAATGGTAAATTTTCCTTTTCATGCCCTCCCAGTCTCAGCTCCTGCTTCAATTTCAGAACATTTTTTTAATTTTTTTTCTTTTTCTTTTCTTTTATTATGTTAATCACCATAGATTACCTCATTAGTTTTTCATGTGGTGTTACATGAGTCATTGTTTGCCTATAACACCCAGTGCTCCATGCAGAACATTTTTAACTACAGTCCTCTCTGATACCATGCCAGGGAGTTTAAAAGATAATTACATATTCTTTTATACTAATACAAATAGTTTTCTGTCTTAACAAATTCACCAAAAAAATCTGTGCTCATAAACTATTTTCACAGCATGGATTCACCAGGCTTAAGGGAATGGTCAAGTTCCAGTGGAAATCAGTACAAGTTTTCTGGCAACTGAGGCTTTTTTCAAAATCCTTCTCTATTATAAATTCCATGAGTTGTCTTCATTTTCAGTTGCAAAACCCCTTCATAAATTATTTCGTGTGCATAGTTTCATCATGGTAAAGCTTAAGGTTCTTTAACACAATGTTAAAGTTTGGTACTCATGTTTCAAAGCAATATTAATAGTACTGAAAAATGGATTCTATTTTTCCTTACTCCTAATTTTTTTCATTTTAACATTAAAACGTTTTTAATACAATAGTAACAGAGCACTGATATATGTCTAGTATTTTTTCTTTATTTTTCTTTATTTATTTTTAGAGTGAGAGAGCACATGGCAGGTGGGGGAGGCATAGGGAGAATGAGAGAGAGAATCTTAAGCAGACTCCAAGCCCAGCTCAGAGCCCAACACAGGGCTTGATTTCACAACCCTGAGAACATGACTTGAGCCAAAAAAAGAGTCAGACACTTAACCAACTTAGCCACCCAGGCACCACAATATTTCTAGTCTTTAATGTGCTTTCATATTTTAATGGTTTTTGTCACTGTTTCTGTCTCTTTCCTAAGGAGGGAAGGTTAAAAGAAGTCAAGTCAATACTGTTCTAGGGCGCCTGAGTGGCTCAGTTGGTTAAGTGACTGCCTTCGGCTCAGGTCATGATCCTGGAGTCCCGGGATCGAGTCCCGCATCGGGCTCCCTGCTCACCAGGGAGTCTGCTTCTCCCTCTGACCCTCCCCCCGTCTCATGTGCTTTCTCTCTCATTCTCTCTGTCTCTCAAATAAATAAATAAAATCTTTAAAAAAAAAATACTGTTCTAGAAAACATGGGAATCGAGCTCACAGGAAAGGAGCTTCAGAGTCTAACAGATAACCTATCAGTTGATGGTGAACACTGTAGTCATTACTCTGCCTTTCTGCAGAGCTTTACCTGTGAACGTATACATCAGAATTTTGGAAATAGGATTATTTGTTGCTAAAAAGAAATGCCAGTATCTTAGAGTTGAACGTATTCATAAAGTAAAAAGAAATACTGCCTCATTTTTTAAAATTTAAAGTTAGCAACATATTTTCTTATAGATAACAGAGGAGCCAGGATGTTTGTCTAAGGAATAGTTAGAATGTAGAATAAAAATTTTATGGATTAAGTTTAAAAGTGATCATATGCCTGCTAACTGGTTACTTCATTTCGTAGCTCCTCCAATATTGAAACATTTACTTTTTTTATTTTACATGCTCTCCCTGAGTGATTTTATGAATTCCCACTTTTAACCATTTATTTGAACCATCAAATTTTTTTAAGATTTCATTTCTATATTTGAGAGAAAGCAAGAGACGGAGTATGGGAGAGGAGGGGGAGGGGCAGAGGGAGAAGCAGACTCCCCGCTGAGCAAGGAGCCCAATGTGTGACTTGATCCCAGGACCCTGGGATCATGACCTGAGCCAAAGGCAGATGCTTAACTGACTGAGCCACCCAGGTACCCCTGAACCATCAGATTTTATATTCTTTCCAGTCTTTTCCCCAATCTTCAAGCTATTTTATTCCAAATCTTGTAAGACATTTATATTTAGTCACCCAAAACAGCTGTTCAAACATAATTTTCTTAATCTTGTATATTCCACATCTTCTTAATCTTGTATATTCCACATCTTCTTAAACTGATCCTTTTTTCTACCTCATTGACCCTGCCAAAAACATAGCCACTTAATTACTTTATGCTGCCTATTTAAACCACTAAATATTTCTTTTTTTTATGTTATGTTAATCACCATACATTACATCATTACTTGTTGATGTAGTGTTCCATGATTCATTGTTTGCGTATAACACCCAGTGCTCCATTCAGTACATGCCCTCTTGAATACCCATCACCAGGCTAACCCATCTCACCATCCCCGTCCCCTCTAGAACCCTCAGTATGTTTCTCAGAGTCCACAGTCTCTCATGGTTTGTCTCCCCCTCCGATTTCGCCCCTTCATTTTTCCCTTACTGATATATTCTTCTTTTTTTTTTAACATATAATGTATTATTTGTTTCAGAGGTACAGGTCTGTGATTCAACAGTCTTATACAATTCACAGTGCTCACCATAGCACATACCCTCCCCAATGTCTATCACCCAGCCACCCCATCCCTCCCACCCCCACCACTCCAGCAACACTCAGTTTGTTTCCTGAGATTAAGAATTCCTCATATCAGTGAGGTCATATGATACATGTCTTTCTCTGATTGACTTATTTCGCTCAGCCTAATGCTCTCCAGTTCCATCCACATCATTGCAAATGGCAAGATTTCATCCCTTTTGATGGCTGCATAATATTCCATTCTACGTATATATTACCACATCTTCCTTATGCATTCATCTGTCGATGGACATCTTGGCTCTTTCCATAGTTAGGCTATTGTGGACATTGCTGCTATAAACATTGGTGGGCATGTACCCCACCCCTTCAGATCATGACATTTGTATCTTTGGGGTAAATACCCAGTAGTGCAATGGCTGGGTCGTAGGGTAGCTCTATTTCCAACTTTCTGAGGAACCTCCATACTGTTTACAGAGTGGCTGCACCAGCTTGCATTCCCACCAACAGTGTAGGAGGATTCCCCTTTCTTCGCATCCCTGCCAACATCTGTCGTTTCCTGACTTGTTAATTTTAGCCATTCTGACTGGTGTGAGGTCGTATCTCATTGAGGTTTTGTTTTGGATTTCCCTGATGCTGAGCAATGTTGAGCACTTTTTCATGTGTCTGTTGGCCACCTGGATGTCTTCTTTGGAAAAAGGTCTGTTCATGTCTTCTGCCCATTTCTTGTTTGGATTATTTGTTCCTTGGGTGTTGAGTTTGATAAGTTCTTTATAGAATTTACTGAATTCCTGTATGAGTTCTAGCAGTTTTGGGGTGGAGTCTTTTGGGTTTTCTACATAAAATATCATATCATCTGCAAAGAGTGAGAGTTTGACTTCTTTGCCGATTTCAATGCCTTTGATTTCTTTTTGTTGTCTGATTGCTGTGGCTAGGACTTCTAATACTATGTTGAATAGCAGTGGTGATAGTGGAATCCCTGCCATGTTCCTGACCTTAGGGGGAAAGCTCTCAGTTTTTTCCCATTGAGAATGATATTCGCTGTAGGTTTTTCATAGATGGCTTTTATTTTTTTTTAAGATGTTATTTATTTATTTGAGAGAGAGAGAGAATGAGAGAGAGAGAGCACGAGAGGGAAGAGGGTCAGAGGGAGAAGCAGACTCCCCGCTGAGCAGGGAGCCCGATGTGGGACTCGATCCCAGGACTCCAGGATCATGACCTGAGCCGAAGGCAGTCGCTTAACCAACTGAGCCACCCAGGCGCCCCATAGATGGCTTTAATGATACTGAGGTATGTGCCCTCTATCCCTGTACTCTGAAGAGTTTTGATCAAGAAAGGATGCTGTACTTTGTCAAATGCTTTTTCTGCATCTATTGAGAGGATCATATGGTTCTTGTTCTTTCTTTTATTAATGTATTGTTATCACGTTGATTGATTTGCAGATGTTGAACCAACCTTGCAGCCCAAGAATAAATCCCACTTGGCCGTGGTGAATAATCCTTTTAATGTACTGTTGGATCCTATTGGCTAGTATTTTGGTGAGAATTTTTGCATCCATGTTCATCAAGGATATTGGTCTGTAATTCTCCTTTTTGATGGGGTCTTTGTCTGGTTTTGAGATCAAGGTAATGGTGGCCTCATAAAACGAGTATGGAAGTTTTCCTTCCATTTCTATTTTTTGAAACAGTTTCAGGAGAATAGGTATTAATTCTTCTTTAAATGT